AAATTAGTGAATCATACCACATTTTTTATTTCACAAGAAAAAAATATTTAGAGAACTATGTTAGAGAATGAGGATGAAGCCCGAATGATGAAAAATATTTTTTGTTAGAAATGTTATTTTCTCTTATTCTTACTTTTTTATATATTTTTTTAGAATTTTTACTCATTACCTTCCAACCACACCGTATCATGTATGTTTCATGAATAACTATATTTATAAACACATAAGAAATCTAGAAACTGAAAATTAGACAATGTCTTCATGTATCAAATTGAGGTCTAAGCATCATTTCGTACATGAAAAAATTTTCTAGTTGTCATCTTCCAAAATTTATATGCATTTCCTCCATAATTATACAAATTAGTTAAAAATAAAGAGAACAATGGGAAAAATGATTGGAATTAGAAAATTCTAAAACGTTCATCTTAGTGTTTTCTAAAAACTATTTTTTTTTTGTGTTTTGGTTATCCTAAAATCATATATGAATAAAGCCCTAGATTCCTGACAACAAAATTCTGGATTTAGAACAATCCCAGCAGGTTTCATCTTCTTGAACAGTTGAATTAACACATTCTGCAAGGTTAAGGTCATTATAGTATCATCTGACCCAAATAATTGGAGGAGTCTGCATAACTCTGAATTCACTCTCCCATCCTTCCCTCATAGTCCAAACACGTGACTCAAACTTCCAACTTTTCAAAAACTAAAGAGTACTTTAGCCACCAAAGGCTAGGGAGGGAGTCATCCTCCCCTCATAGCCAGGGCACCAAATGTATACCCGTATAACGAACTTCCAACTCAATCCATCAACTGACTGATTTATTTTAAAAAAAAAAGATAATGCTATATGTTCTTTCTTTTTTATCACACATGATCAGCAATGAAAACAAAATTTCGCAGACCTACAACAATCTAGGTGATAAATTGGATGTCTACCCATTTTTATTAATAAAAGAAAAAGTAACTTCATCCTTCTTAAACTGAATAATAGCTCATATGACCTACAATAATCTAGCTATAGATTGCTTAAATAGATTAATCATATTTCTATTAGATGTAAAACTATTATACTAGTTAAGAAGCTATTATCATAGTTTTAGTAACTTTAGGAGGTATAATTTTTATTAGTATTTAGGTATTTTATTTGAATTAGTAGTATTATTTCCTGTCCTACTAGTATCCATATCTCTTAGTTTAATCTTATTTTGGAAGAATAAGCACAATAGTATCTCATAATTCCCACTTTTGAGATAAAATTCAGTTATTCAATAAAATACATTGAGAGTTTCTCAATTTTCTGGTTGCAGAAGACCATAGTTGTCCATAAGAACTCTAGAAGTTATTTAATGTCCAACTGAGCAACATCGCATCATTTAGGCTGACTAGTAAAATATCATCACGTCATAGTTTTCCATGAGTTACTTAATGTCCAATGGTAACAACAGAGCAGGCACTAAAGGCCTGACGTTGCAATATAAGCAACCAGAGAATACCAAAGCCAAACAAGGAAATTGAGCCAACATATATGAGTAATGCATTTTTCTTTTCAAGAAAAAATGGAAACACGAAGCTGAGAGGATACCCTTACCATTTTCCTGAGATGATATGAAGTCATTAGCTCAAAAGTTAAAAGTTGACGTAAGTTTTAATAAGACACGATATAATAGATCAATGGACAAGTCCTCAAAACTTCACCTTCAGCCATAACTTGATTAATTATTTCATCTTTTTCTTTCAATAGGGCAGCAGCATCACTTTTTTTACTCTGCTCTCTCCGGAGCGTATCTCTTTCCTTAGTAAGAGCATAGACCTGTAATCATATGTACTAAGTAATTAAAACTTTACTGGCAATGGATCAAATGATGTAGAGCCAAAAAGGGGAAAGGGGGGAAAACAAATGCCCATTCATAATAACCAAAGACAATCTACTTTGTCAGAGTCCAATGGCTCAAGGGGCACAAATGCTCCTTAATAAGCCAGTGAATAGGAGTTCAATCTCCCTATACAACAAAAAAGAAATTCCACAAATTGTAAATTCACATTCTTTTAGGAAGCTCTTTTAAAGGCACTAATACCAACTGAAACCAACTTCCCTACTTCATAATTCAACCTCTGTAGGGCCATCGTTCACACCCGTCTACTTATTACTTATTTTTCATAAGAAGAAAAGAAAAATGTGTATTGTAAACAAGGCCCAACTCTACAGATAGAAAATAATGCAGTTAAAAGTTAACCAAAATACCAGCATCCCCTTAGTCATCCTCAAATGGAGATAATGACCCTTAACCATAATATCAAAAGGTCCCTTAACTGCCTCAGATGAGGGAAAATGAGTTTGTAACCAAATATATCTAATCCTAGGAAAAGATGAGTGATAACCCTCAATATGAGGTTTTCCCAATCACTTGATAAGAGAACTTGGACAGGAATTCGCTTCTCAAGATTTCCGTTAAGCACAATTTCAACCACAAAAAGAAGAAAGAGTTTGCAATCAAATATCTCCAGTACTAGCAGAAGATGAGTGACAACCCCCAAGATTGACATTTTCCTAATTACTTGATAAGAAAACCTGTACAGGAATGCACTTATCAAGACTTTCCTTCTTCATATCAAGCACAAGTTCACCACTTTCTTAGGCTTCTTAGAAAAGCAATCAACCTGAGTATCAACAGCCAAGTGGCTATTGTACTTTGAATAAGTCAAACCATACACCATGGATGTATGTGAAAGAGCACACCAACAGAATATTATTTGGGGATTCAGCTGCTCTTTACCACAAAATACACCAATTCAAGAATCTTCCCCCTTTTGATGTGGTTATCTAGAAGGATTCTTCCCTTTGCAGCCTTCCACGTAAAAAAGGCAACATAAGCTGGGGCTTTCTTCATCAAAATCTACTTCCAAGAAATAATAGAGAATCAAATAAGATTCAACAATGTGGTGATAAAGGGACTTTACCGACCAGTAAGCCTTAGAATTAAGGTTCCAAACCATTTCATCCTCCTTGTGGCATCAATCTGCGTGAACAAGAAACACAAGCAACCTCATGTTCCCCTCTTCATAGTCATCCAGGTTTCTTAAAAGATTAACACCCAAAATGACCTACTTTGCACTAACCGAGTAGCAATTACACATAATGGCCTCTTTTCTTCTAGCCAAGGACAGAATATCTAGAAAAATTTGTAGCATCAAAGAGGAATTACCTTACCACACATCATCCCGGAATCTAACTCTCAAACATCATCCCACCTTGAGACTAATGCAATCTCCAATATCCTCCCAAGAAGTGCTAATCCTCCTGCACATGCCTGTATTGTACCGGCCCCTAAAAGGTTTAAGCCTCCACCCTGTCTCATTCATGCTAAGCGTTGCCTGGATCACCTTCTACCATATACCACTTTGCAATGTTATTTATAAGCCCTACAAATTCTAGTCCTATTAAGAACAGGAAATTAAAATAGATAATCCCAAAAGACCCCTAATTATAAAAGTAAACCAGCTCCCCACTAAAATAACATTAACGAGACTCCTACATAACAGGACTGTGAAAAACTAAACCACAATTCTGCAAACCAAATATAACCCTAAACTCTAACTAATTGAACAATTTATTTATGGTCCATGCATCACTTTATTCATTTTCCAAGTGAGCCTATAGAATGCACTAAGACGAGAAAAATAGGATATAGCAAAAGAGTATCAATTGCCTCTTGAAAAGCAAATGGACAAATATGGCACATCCATCAAGACAACAAATATTCCATAACATGCATCACATGAAAACTTGGGTAAATGTGTTTTTCTTTCTTAAAGGAGAAGAAAACGAATTCACAAGGCCCCATGGGGGTGCCAACAAAGTACAAACATAAGGGACAAATTGAAGCAAAGAACTAAATCTCAGTAGATCGTGGGAGTAAAGTCGCTCTACCACTTCAAACACAACGATCTATACTTAAATTGTCTACAAAAAATTCCACCACCACTCAGTGGAAATCATACTTCTATGCGGCTAACACAGCTCTTTTGTGGCTCAAGCTTTGGTAATGAACCTAAGAAAGAATGTGAAAGAGTAAAAGTCTCAAACCTTGAAAAACATAAATGACAAAGAATCATAGAAGAATGATATGTTTGCGAAGATAATAATATAATAACTAAATTCAATCTGGTTAAAACTGTAAAACAAATAATCATTTAAATACTTAAGAATTACAATGGATTTCAGTACACCATAAGGTTTTTATCTAATTGACATCCAAGTAAGCAAATAAATATACAAGAAAATATGAACGAGAAGGAAGAACAAAAAAGGTATACCTTTCTCTCAAGAGTTGCAACTCTTTGATGATATTCCTCTCGCAAGGCCTCAATTTCAACCTCATTGGATTTTCTCTGTTTAGGATTTACAGCTATTAGCATGTATGAACAAGAGTCTCTCGAAAAAAAGCATGTAGAAACTAGCGGTTAGGGAAGGAAGGAGGATCACTGTAACATAGAACGAATAACATCTAATAAACTTGATTATATAATCTGTAAATTACACTATGAAATATTTATGCATTTTTACAAACATCATAAATAACAAAGGGCAACAATGAACTGCCTGCAAAAACAACAGAGTGATGACTTCACGATTTAGAATTATTATAATAAATTATGAAGCATCTTTTTTCGTAATAAAAGAAGACATACTATTAGAAAGAGAGAATAATTTATCCCCATAATTATCTCAAAAAAATAATAATTTATCCACCATAAGTAATCATGGCAATGTATGTTTTGGTATTACATACCTTTAAACCCTCAATTGCAACTTTTAGCTGCTCATTCTCATTCATCAATTTTGCTATCTCATCAGCTTTTGCCTGACAAGAAGATAGCATAATAATTGGAGCTTCAAGAACCATAAAGATCAAAAAGCATGGGCAATATGACATGAACAGCAAAAAGAATCATAAAGTCCTAAACAACAAAGTCAAGACAATCTAGCAGATATAAGATGCTGGTCATGGATTGGAGTTACTTAAATTTAAAAGTTAAAATAAAAGGTAAACAAACACTCCTCTAGGAGATGGCAGTAATGCTGTCCTTCTATGCCCTTAAATTTACACTATTTGAATTAATAGAGCAATATGAAAGGAACACAAAAGGAACAGAAACTAGGCATGCTTGCCACTACAAATAAAATTGTAAACCGAAGGAACGGATAGTATGCATCTCCCTCCTTAAAGTTTCATTTTCTTCGTTCCTCCAAATTGGGAGGAAAAGTAGAGGGAAAAACTGAGATGATTTAGTTGATGAACCTTCTATTCTATCTTCAAACGTTCCGCTTACAATTTCACGAATAAAGGGTGTAATTTTGATACTTTTTTAAAAAGAAAAAGAGAAGTACATTAACAGCACACCAAGGGGTGCAAGCAAAATACAGAAAGCTTCCAAATCAGTAAAAATAGTAATTAGGTCCAAAATCCTCAATGAAAATAAGAGCATGAGCCTTTAACAAAATATAAAGGGTCTGAAACCATAAATCTCTCACTTGTCTAAAAGGCAAATACAATGTCATCAACAGCCCTTCCATTCCTCTCCTACAAATAACCAAGAAGGTAAGAGATATAGGAGATAGAACCTTCTTCCCTCCCTTATCACCTTGGATGCATCAGGTCGAGCCTAGATTCATTATCTACCAATGCCACCCAGCCTAAATCACCGTAAGGAAGCTTAAGTCATACACCAACAACAGGAGATGATTCGAGGTTTCAGCCGCCCTCTTGCATGAGTAACATCAATTTACCACTTCTTCTCCTCTTCCTGAGGTCCATAATGAGGATTCTCCCCTTCACCACTTTCCAAGCAAGGAAATTGACTTTGAAAGAGGCATTAAGCTTCCAAATAAACTGCTATGAAAAACTGCAATGTTTAGGAGCAAGATTGAGTAGATGTCTATAGCATTATTTTATTGAGTTAGTACCAATATGGTCCAGCTTCCAGATAAGATGATCAATACCCTCAGAATGATAGTGACAATGAGTGAGATGCTGAATAAGACTAACCTATTCATCCACTTTCCAGTAATTAAGGTTTTTCACTACATCATCGACTAAATAAGAGAGAGTTCCAACTACTTTGGCCTACTTTCCTCTAGCCAAAGAGGAACAGCAAAGACAAACATTGGTGAAGAGGCTCTCCTTCACTCTAATAAGTGAGCCAAAACCTAACCCCTTGCCTAGAACAGACTCTCCATCTAAACACCCATGAAATTCTTTCGACTCAGAGTTAATCTTCTTCCAAAAACCCAAACCATGATGAGCGATAGACTTCCTAGACCTTCATCCCCTCACCTTCAACCCAAATTTGGTCTTCATCACCTTTAATGACAGGCTATTTTATCATGCATGAATCTCCAAAATCACTTCCCAAGAAGAACTTTGTTAAAATAAACAATAGATCTAAATGTCAAGCCCACCTGTGCTTATAAAATGAGCCAGTCTGAATACCCTGACAATCCTTCTCTGCAGCAAGTACTGGTATTTCCCCTTCCAATCTATCAAACTGCTTCAAAACAGGAAAAGGTCATCCCTCCTTGCCTCCACATTCCTAAACTTAGATGTTTTTCATCATTTGATCTTCGATTTAACATCCATCAGCTCATTAGCAGCTACGAAAATGGCAAACCCTCCCACCTGTGCATCCTCCCACCACTCTTTGACACAATCCAGAAAACCAAGAACCTCAAGCCACTTGTTTTCAAATATAAATAGACAAAGCTCTCATTTTATCTCACCACACTCCAAACAAAGAGAGAAATAATTTTACATGGCAACAATTCCTACATCATACCTAGAACCTAGAAGTCAAAGCAAGCAAAAACAAGAAAGCCATTAATTCTAAAAAGTTTAGCTCTCCCTAGAGTTCGACTCAATCCATCTCCTGCCAAACAAATGGAGGTGGAAGGTTGAGCCTATCCAAAGTATCCCTGAATTCATCATAACAAACTCAAGAGGGAGCCTACCCTAAATGCTCGTGGGCGAAAATAACCATGTTGAAATTTCCCACAATCATTGGAAGGATGTCCCATCTATTATGAATCGCCACAAAATCAATTAACAAAGTCTCCTTTTCCCTGGATTGCCCCTTTTCATTAACTCCGAGTAACACCGGGCACCAACCAAATGCCTACACTTCAAAATACAAGTTGTAATGTCATTCCTACACTAATCTACAACATTGAACTTCTTCGCTTTCCACAAAACAACAATTCCATCGAAGCTCGTACCACTAGTATTTCTCTTTGCACCACATCCCTAGCCTTACAAACACGATGGACCAATCTTTTATACAACTCTTCCACCTTGGATTTTAAAAAGAAAACTACATCTAAGTTCCAGTCGACAAACACCACTCAAGACCTATTTTTTTTATAAAATAAAAAATATGAAGTATATATAAACAAGGTACCAAGGAGGTACCACCCATCACAATATTTACAATTTTGTTAGATTATCAATAACATCCCCAATAATGTTATGACTCAACAAGATAGACATAAAATGATGATTACATCTATCTCTAATCCTATGTTTCAACCTCTTTACTCTCAAAATCTCTACAATTCATTTCCTTCCATAAAACTCAAAAAATAGTCAATGGAATCAACTTTACAAACGCTCTTCCCTTACATATCCCCTTCCCACGCTCAAATCTCATCTTTAACATAACCCACCATCACCCAATTAACACCCAAAAAACCATATATCATGATCCACAATTCATAAGGTATAGGACACCATAAAAAGATATAATTACAAGATTCCGTAGCTTTCTTGCATAAATAACACCTGTTAACCATAATTTGACCTTTAGTCATCAACTTATCAATAGTAAAAAATGCACTCCCGACTAGCCTCTTATGCAAAAAAGGCGATTCTAGGAGCGCCTTCAATTTCCATCTAATGAACCGCGAAATTGTGAACCCTTCCAGGGACATCACTCACAAAAGTGAAGTCCCCATTCTGTTTCAAACTCCAAATGACTTGATCCTTGTTAGTGTTGACCTGTTGTAAGGCAAGTAACTCCAGTAAAGCTTCATACTGAAGTTTTTGGAGAAAATAAACTTCTAATTTTATTTCTTATTTTCTGTGTTTACATTTAAAAGATATATAAAGAGTGGTTATTCTTATTCTAGTTGAACTCTAATTATAGGCTATAATTATACTATTAGAATTCTAACTAATATAATATTCTCCTTAGTATGAAATCCTTATCTACACTCCCCCTCAAGTTGGCGCAAAGATATCACACATGCTCAACTTGCAAATCAGGTTTTGAAAAGATTTGTTGTATAACCCTTTAATGAAAATGTCAGCCACCTAGTCGTCAGAAAATACATGATATAAGCATAGAGGGTCACCAACCACCTTCTTTTTTATGAAGTGTCGATCAATCTCAATGTATATTGTTCTATCATGTTGAACTAGATTATGAACAATGTTAATTGCTGCTTTATTATCATAAAACAGAGATAGTTTCTCGTCTTTAAGCAGATTTAACTCTCTCATTAGCTTTTGCAACCATATTAATTCACATACTTCTTGGGTTATTACTCTATATTTTGTCTCCGTACTGGAGCGAGCGACCACACTTTATTTCTTACTTTTCCATGTGACTAAGTTGTCTCTTACAAGTGTGCAGTAATTTGTAGTTAATCTTTTATCGTATAGGGACCCAATCCAATCAGTATCTGTAAATACTTCTATTTTAAGGTGACCATATTTATAAAAGAGCAGACCTTTTCGTAGTGCAGACTTCAGATATCGTAATATGCAGAATACAGCATGTAAAGGAGTCTCACGAGAATCATGCACGTACTGCCTCACAAGACTAACTACATATGCTATATTAGGTCTGATATGTGAGAGATAAATAAGTCTTCCAACTAGTCTATGATATTTTTCCGAATCAACTGATATATCACTACCAGCTTACAATTTGTGGTTGCTCTCAATAAGTGATGTTGTCGGCTTGCAACCCATCATACCAATCTCTTCTATTAAGTTTAGGATATACTTCTTTTGAGAAATGAAATCTCTTTACTGGATCTGATAACTTCAATCCCCAAGAATTATTACAATTTTCCTAAATCTTTTATTTGAAACTCTTGAGCAAGAAGTTCCTTCAACCGAGTCATCTCCTTTGTGTCATCTCCAGTCACCACAATATCATCCACATAAATAATGAGAAGAGTAATCTTACCCTCACGATGTTTGATAAATAAGGTATGATCCGCATTACTTTGTTGATATCCAAAAGAGATCATAAATCTTCTAAACCGTTCAAACCATACTCTTTGAGACTGTTTTAATCCGTATAAGACATTTTTTAATTGATAAACTTTTTCTTGCGTCCTCTCATCTTCAAATGCAAATGGAATTTTCATGTACACCTCTTCCTCTAAGTCTCCATAGAAGAATAAATTTTTTACATCAAACTACTGTAAATCCCAATCAAAATTAGCTGCGCAAGATAAAAGTATCATAATTGTATTCATCTTCGCAACATGTGCAAATGTCTCCTGATAGTCAATCCCATAGGTCTGAGTAAATCTTTTAGCCATCAATCTAACTTTGTACCTTTCAATCAATCCGTCTGCTTTGTGTTTTACGGTGAACTCCCATTTGCAACCAACTATCTTCTTTTTCTATGGAGGGTGAAACAAGTTCCTATATTTCATTCTTTGTCAATGCTCTCATTTCTTCAATCATGTCTTTCTTCCACTTGGGATCTTTTAAAGTTTCTCTCCAATCCTGTGAAATAGACACAGAGGAAACATATAAGATCAAAACTCTACAGGAGGGAGATAGAAAGTCATAGGAAAGAAAGTTTCATATAGGGTACTTAGTGCAAGTTCTCGTTCCCTTTCTAATAACAATAGGTTTATTTGATAAATCACAAAAAAAAGATAACTCACTAGTATCTTCTGGAATCAGAGAAGATTCTTGACCTAGAACAAACTGCATGATGGCTTTTTCAAACTTCTCTCTTCTTGAATACCTTTTGAAGTCTAGTTTATTTAGACGTCCAATATTATCTTCTTGATTAAGACTTTCTGCAATAAAATTTTCCTTCTGGATATGACTCTCAATTGTTACCCAATTAAGTATCACTTCTTCCTTCTCACTCTTCCCCTGAAGAGGTGTTAGGTTTGAATTGAAGTAAAACTCCTTCTCCCTAAAGGTAATATCCATAGTTACAAAGAATTTTCTAAATGGTGGATGATAACACGTGTAATCTTTTTGGGTTGAAAATTATCCAATAAATACACACTTAAAAGTTCTAGATTCTAACTTACCCACATTTATAGCATGAACAAAGCACACACATTCAAACACTTTTAGGTGAACAATCTAGAAATTTTTTTCTTACAAAACCTCCATAAAACTTTTAAAATTCAGAACCGGCAAAGGCATTCTATTAATAAGATAGACAGCTGAGAGAACTGCATTTCCCCAATAACTTTTTAATAGATTCATGGTGAACATTAGTGACCGAGCTACCTCCAGCATGTGTCTGTTTTTTTTTTCAAAAATCTCATTTTGTTCACTAGTGTAGGCACAACTTATCTGATGAATTATCCCGTTTGACTCCAGGTAGGCACGAAACTCACTATCCATATATTTTATACCATTGTCAATTCGCAAAATCTTAACTTTAACACCAAACTGTGTACATATCATTTTGTGGGAAGATTAAAAGAATGAAAATACATTACTTTTTGCTTTTAACAGATAAATCCACGTTAATCTAGTACAACAGTCAATAAAAATAGTAAACCATCTATGATAAGAAAGAGAGGTATTCTGAGTAGGTCCCCACACATCAGAGTGAATAGTCATAAAAAAATCAATACTTCTATTATTACTTAAATGATAAGAGTTCCTCTTATGTTTAGCAAATTCGCATGCATCGCAAAATAAACACTTCATAGAAATTCTTTTAAATAATTTAGAATATAAGTTTTCTAAAACAAAAAAGGAAGGATGTCTCAATCGTCGGTGCCATTGTAATATCTCCATATTGACTTATTTATTCCCAATAGTTGTTTGATTTCCAACTAAATTCACATGTCTATCCAAGACATATAAGCCATATTGCAGTCTACCAGTGTCAATCCTCTTCCCGGTTTGAAAATCCTAAAAGATGCAATGATCAGGAAAAAATTCAATTTTACAGTTGAAATTTCTAATTATGACACTAATAGATAAAAGATTATCAGAAAAACTAAACACATGTAAAACTGAAGACAGTGTAGTAGTAGGGGTACAATTAATGGAACATGTTCCCGACATGGGGTGTATGACCCATATGGTATATGGACATTATCTCCTTCAGTACAAGAAAAATAGATTAAGAATTCTTTGGAAGAGTATGTCAAGTGTCTGTTAGCTACAGAATCTATAATCCAATTATCAGGAATGGAAATAGGATGAGCAATACCTGATTTTTACCATATTTGATGTGTCAACAGTTGATGGAGAGTTAAGTTGACTCAGAAGACGCTTCAGATTTTGAATTTCTTTTGTGGAAAAGGCTCCAACGGATGCTGAACCAGTTGTTTCCTTAACTTAAACAAAATTTATTTGAGCTCTTGTGGTTCCACCTCTTCTTCCTCCCCGACCCCTAATTGGTCTTCCATGCAATTT